CTATCTCCAGTTTTACAATTTCCCAATGGTGTGTAACAACAGCATGTGTTATTTTCGTTAATAGAGTCATCACTTAATGCACTTAAAACACACATTCTTCCTAAAGATACACTTTTGTGGAGAGCAAGTGGGTTTTGTGTCTCATGGAGATTGAGGTAGGAAATACTATTCTTCATTACTCATCTGAGGTTGCAAATTAGTACTGGAAATTTCAGCTGGTTCTTCACCGCCTGAACATTAGCCAGCTCATATTGACTGGCTGGTGTCTGATGCCGGAGTAGTGAGTCTGTCACTGCCCTGGCAGTTGTGCCTTTGTTGTTGCTCCTGCTTGAGTTGTTTGTTTCCTTAGGAAGCCTCCTGGTGCAGAGGCCAGGTTCTCAGAAGGTGCTGAGTGTGGATGCTGATAATACCAGAGATGGATGCGCATGTTAAGGAAATAGAGTTACTGGCATCTCTTGGGCTCAAGAATAGGATCATTTTATTTAAGACCTTGCTTAGCTCAAAACCCTGTGTGCCTCTCTGGGGAGAGGCACAGGTGTCTGAGGGAATGCAGACTTTGATGCTGGACCTCTTCAGAATTCCTGGAGTTCCTGGATTCCTTCTGGCAGAGGACGTGTCCCACACGGCCTCTTTTCAAACTCTAAGCAGTGACCCTTTGGACAGATTCCTCTCACCATTACAAACACCGTGACCCTCAAGGCATCCGAGACACAGTGCCTGGTTTGTGTGTGTGTGTGTGTGTGTGAATGTGTGTGTTGCCTGAAGTAAAGAGATGAAATTGAAAGGCCAGAAGCACAGTGTGCTTACTGAACTCTGAAGCACAAAGGACTTTATCCCAGAGTGAAAGGCACACACTCCTGAGAGCCAAATCTATGGTCCTCACTTTCCAAGTGTGGAAAGGTGGCCAGAGCCCACTCCTTCTCAGAGCAGGCTTCTGGCAGACGGAGGCAGAAGGGTCTTGCTGCTGGTTTCACAGGCACACTTCTCACACCCTGTCCTGCTATTAAAAATAAAATGAGGCACACGTCATATGCTTCTCCCAGACTGCAAGACTCATTTCCTTCTAATAAGCCTCTGGTCTGCCTGGGCTTTCCTTACTCTAGAAAGGTTGGATCTCCTGTGGTTCCCATTATGGATTTCTGGTTTTCTACCTTGCTTTTTTCCCCCTTCTCTGCTACTTTGAATGAAAATAAAGTTAGTGTCTGCTTCTGCAGATTTATCACTTACACCACACATAATTTCTCTATGGCACAGCCAGGGAGGAGTATTCTGTAGAGAAAGGACAGCTTTGACCTACTTACCTGCAGCCCACTGGAAACAGAACTCTGGTCGATGTGATATATGCCTGCCCTGCCCTGGGCCGGGCTGGGCTGGCAAAGGCCATCTGGTTACATCCTGCAGACAAAGCAAGCCATGACCATGGTAGGTCTTGTAAATAGGGCCCTTCCCAGCTGGCAGTCCTGTAGTGATCTCCTCTTCCCTACCCCATCTTTGGCTTGCCAGGTTCAGAAACTAAAGGTAAAGCAAGTCTGACAGTAGCCTAGACAGTGAAGGGAGGGAGGTGGGAGGCACAGTAAGTAGCCAGGGGCCTCATTTCTAGGCCAAGCTCTCCAATACCTGCAGCCTGATCCCTCTAGGGCACGCAGTGTGAAGATGCAGGGTGAAATTCACAGTGAGATCTGGAGCATGCAGAGAGACACAGTGACAAGGCTAGGCCCTGTCAACAAGAAGAGAACCATTGTGCAGGTGCTATCAACAGTCCAGGCAGTTCAGGGTTGAGTCAGAAGAATCCGATGTGGAATGATGACTTGGAAAGGAGGCTTTAGAGAAGGATAGGCAGGGCTCAGCCAGCAGCTGGCTATCTATGACCCCAGCAGAAATGTCCTGTCCTTTTCTCCTGTGCATGACCCCCCAGAAAAAACGTACTATAGAGGCCAGAAAGCGATCAAACTTAGCCCATTTTTCAGATGCAGAAACTAAATAGAGGCTGAAGGGAAAACTTGGCCCTGGTCATGGGGCAGCCTCATGGCCCTGCAGGAGAGAGGTCCTGCCTCTGAATCCTCTCATCCTTGGTGACGGGGGATCTAGGAATAAGGATGGATGAGATTGTCCTGTCCCCTGCAGTGTCCCAGGGCGCTGTGTGCCATGACCTCCAGCTGAGCAGTGGCTCTAAGCTATTTCTGGGACATCTAGGAATGGGTATGAAAACATATGGCTGCTTTAGGGAATCTTGGGCACATTTATTGATGAGAAGAACTTAAAAATGCCAACATACTTCTTGATTCAGAACTTGTAACTAGACTCAAATTTGGCTTTTTTTTCGATCCGTGAAAAGAAAGAGGGGATGGTTTGAACAGGAGATTAATAGGGTACGTAAGAGAACACAGACTTCCTGTTCTTCTTTTTAAAGCACTTTAATGATGTCCGCAGATCCACAGCAAGGAGGGCTGGTAGGACCTTAGGGATCCTCGAAGCCAACCCAGCTCATTTTACGCATGAACAAACCGAAGCCTTTGGGTTTGGCTGTGGACCTAATTAGCTATTACGCCTGGCCAGGAGCCTGGATCCAACCTTGTAGACTGGTCTTCTCTCTGCTGGAACCCTCATGCATTCACTGAAAGCATTCAGCGTGCTGAATTAGTATTGATAATTGGTGAAACATTTACTACTAATGTGTGGTCCTTATCTTTTCAGACTTAGCATCCATTAGACAGCTCTCTGTCTAGCAGCTCCTGCAGCCTGTGGGGCATTAAAGATGGAGAGAGGATATGAGGAACTGACCCTTCAGTTTCTACACCAGTTGTGGCATTTATTTTTAAATGGGGCATGTGAGAGATCCTGTGAAAGTGATGAATGATCTGCTCTACTGTCATTAAAAAGGGCTATAACATGGCTATTGTGAGTGAAGACATTTTTGTGGAATACAAGGTCCTGGCTTGGTCTTGAATAATGGCCATGATTTTGGTAGGGAAAGAGGAAGAGAAGTTGTTTCAGTGAAAATGTTGAATATAATTGGAAACAGCCCCCAAAACTATCAGGTTCTAATCCCTGAAATTTATAAATACTGCTTTGGAAAGAGGTCTTTGAAAATGTCATTAATTAAAGGATTTTGAGATGCAGAGATTATCTTGGATTGTATTGGTGGTTCCTAAATGCAAATGTTCATGTGAGAGAGAGACAAAGGGAGATTATGGACAGAAGATTACAGAAGGCAGATCTGGAAGTGATCTGGCCACAAGTCAAGGACTGCTGGCAGCCGCCAGAAACCAGAAGCAGAGAATGGAGTCCTCCTTTAGCCACTAGGGAGCACACACTTCCCCACACCTTGATTCTGATCTAATGATGATTTCAAAAGAATTAATTTCTCTTGTTCCATGACACTAGCTTTGTGGTAATTTGCCACTCCTGGCCTAAGATACTAATACAAAGAGGAAAAGACAAAACTTGTGTGGGAAAGGGTTGGTCAGGATACCTGCTAGGAACACAAGTCAGTTTTTAGCAAGGTACGAAGTAAATGGGTTGGGTGTCAAGTGTCTTATACTAGTTTGAAGAGGGAAAGCAAGTTTCCCCGTGCTTCTTTACAGTACTGATTAGAGTACAGAGCCGAGGAAGAGACTCAGGGTGCCTGTTGGATCATCTTTATTTCCCAGTGGCACTTAATACTACGCTCCTGGTGATACATAACAGGCAGTCAGTGCCTGCTGACAACCATGGTGAATACTGACAGCTGCTGTATATGGGTGAATTGGAGAGATGTTAAGGCTGCCACAGGGCTGGTGTGGTGCGATGTGGTGTAGGAACCTCTCATCTTCAAACTGTGATCTTAGTTCCCCATGCTGGGTCTCACTGGGGTGTGATGGGGTAAGAAATGCTCCACCAGCCCAGGACTAATGCCGCAGAGTCCCTGGAGGTAGGGACTCAGGTGAATTCAGAGCAGCTCTGGTAGGGGGTGAGAGGTGGGGATCACCTGCCACGAGCAATAGACCTTCTTGATAGCAAAGTCAAGCTCTCTGCCAGGCTCAGAGAAAGTGATTAAAGAGTGCTTTTGAGCTTTCATGACACTGTTATTGATCCGAGATTGTTTAGAGCCATAAAGCAACTGTAAATTAGAGGACTGAAATAAAAAACAGCAGGATACTTAACTCCTATCCTCTTTTGAGGTTGGAAAAAGCTTTCTGTAGCAGCAGGGACCTGAAATATGTCTTCAAATGGGGGATCTCATTCTCCTTTCCTCCTTGGACCCAAGAGGCAGTCTTCTCCAAAGCCCTAGCCAGCCTCGCTTAGACAGTGTCCTTGGCCATGGGACTCTGCTGGGCCCTCTGACTATCTGTGCCTGCTCCATTCCGTTTTCTTTTCCTCTTTCTCTTTTTCTTTCCTCTCCTTTCTTCCTCTCCCTTCCTTTCTCTTCCTTTTCTTTTTATTTTGTGGTACTAGGAGTAGAAACAGGGCTGTCACACTGAGCTATTTCCTTAGCCATTTTATTTCTTTACTTTTGAGACAAGGTCTTACTAATTTGCTAATTTTCCCATGGTAGGCTTGAATTCACAATCCTCCTGCCTCAGCCTCCCAGAATGCCAGGATTACAAGTGTGTATCACTATGCCTGTTCACATTTCCTTTTTCCTTTTCTTTTTTTGTTCTTCTTTTTGCCTTTCTTTTATCTGACTAGAGGGTTCTGTTTTGTCTCATAGTAGTAAGGATTGAACCCACAGCCTTTCACCTACTAGGCTATCACTCTACCATGAGCTATATCCCCAGTACTTAAAAAATTTAATTTTGAGATAGAATCTTGCTAAGTTGCCCGGGCTGGCGACATACTCATGATCCTCCTGCCTCAAGCTCCTAAGCAGCTGGGATTACAGGCAGCATGCACCACCGTGCTTGGCTTGATGGGTTTAATATATCATAATTGTAAAGCAGTGAAGTTAAGAGATAGTCACCAGTCATTTCAATGTCATGAAGCCAGCCACGTGACCACTGGACTTTGCCTTTTCCTTGTAGAAATCCGGGAGGCCTTTCGAGTTCTGGACCGAGACGGTAATGGCTTCATCTCCAAGCAGGAGCTGGGCATGGCCATGCGCTCTCTGGGGTACATGCCGAGCGAGGTGGAGCTGGCCATCATCATGCAGCGCCTGGACATGGACGGTAAGAGCCTGAGGCTGTGCCTCTGCAGAGCTGAGCTCCCTTTCTTCCCTGAGACCCGTGCCTATGTGGGGCCTCGGGCCTTGGGTCAAGAGATGTGGGGCCATGTCTCAGTTTGCATTTTAGCAGTGGAAACTTGGATTGCATCAGGGTTTTACCAAGTGCATTCCATGGAGCTCTAGGGGTTTGCAGAGGTGGTTTCAGGCTGTCAGAGGAATGGATTGAAGGAGGTCTGGCTGGGGAGCAGTTAGTGCCCCCTTTTTTCCTTCCTTTTGAAAAAAGCACCTTACTGAAATAGAATTCACATACCATAAAAATCACTCATTTAAAGTATATAACTGATTGGCTTTTAGCATAGTAGCAGGTTTGTGCAACTAATGGCAGAACTGATTTTGGAACATTTCTATTAGTGCAGACAGAAGGAAACCATGCACCTCCGAGCTGTCAGCTCCCAATCGCTCTGTAGCCTCTCATCACTCTGTCCCCCTATTCCCAGCTGACCATGAATCCCCTTTCTGTCTCCATAGAGCTGCCTCCCCTGGACATTTGATATAAATGGAAATATACAGTATGTGGCTATTACCTGATGTAGCATAGCGTTTTCAGGACTCACTCATGTTGTAGCATGGGTCAGTGCTTTCTTTGTATGCCCAAATCATATTCTGTGGTGAGGACATAGTGGCTCCTCTTCTGTCTGTCCTGCCATGCATACGACCTCACTAGGGCAAATGGTGTCACTGTTTGCAAAAGACCTTGATTGGCCTGAGGGTGGTCAGGGAAAGCTTCCTGGAGGAAGGGAACTTTGAAAGAGGTCTTTGGAAAGAGGGGAACCAGCATGTAACTTAGACCAGAAGCCTGGAGCTCTAGCCTTTCACTTGGTTTCCTCCTCTCCCAGACTGGGAGAGCAATGCCTGTCTTGATTGTCACAGAGTTGCTATGGGGATCGAGTGAGTACAAATGTGTGGCAAGCTACCTATTATGGTTTAGATATGAAATATCTTCCAAAAGACTCATCTGCTCAGAGGTGGAGATTTTGGAAGGTGACTGTAGCTGACTTGCTGCTGGAAGGTGAGGCCTAGTTCGAGGTGGGGAGCTGGGGATGTGATCTGGAAGGGTCTGTCTCCCTCCCTAGCTCCCCCCTTTGCTCTCTGCTTCCTGGCCACTTTGCCATGCATGAGCTGCTTTCCTCCTGTAGACCCTTCTACCATACTGTTTTTGCCTTGGAGCCAGGTGCCTGTGGATTCTAAATGTGAATCAGAATAAACCTCTCCTCCTTTAAATTGTGGGTGTCAGGTATTTTGTCCCAGTGACAAGGAAAGTGACTGAAACACTACAAAGTCTTACAAAATGTGGCACTTGTTTTTATTTTGGGTACCACACTGTCTGCAGGAGATGCTACTCAGCTTAGCTTTCTCTAGTAGTGTCAAGTTGGTGGACCACCTTTCTGGCGTTTCAATTCTTAGGGAAGGTGTTTGTCTTAGTTTCTTTTTCTTCTCGCTGAGACAACATACTCAACACCCAAAGTTAAAGGAGAAAGGTTTTCTTTGGCTCACGGTTGTTTGAGGTTTCAGTCAGTAGTTGGCTGGCTCTGAGGCAGGGTGGTATGGCAGAGGGGTATCACAGAGGAGAAGCAGTCCATGGCAGGGCAGGCAGGAGACAGCAAAGTAAAGCAGCATCAGCAAACCTCCCTTCTTTGTATCCCTTTAGATCCCATCCAGACTACAAGCCTGCTGGATGGTGCCACACCCATACTCAGGGTGGCACGTCCCATCATCTACACCCAGAGCAATGTAAAGCAATGGGTAGACTAATCTGATCATCACACAGCCTCATCCACATCCCTACACCCTAGATATAGCCACCTCTGAAAAGCCCCACCTATGAGTACAGGAAGGTTTGGGGGGACGTCTAGATATAAGCCATAACAGTGTTTTAAAGTCCCTATTTAAAACTAAAAATTAAAAATAAATAGTAAAAAATGTCAAAAAACGATTGCATGGTGGGGACACATTCGTTTGACTCACAGTTGCAAGAGCATGGCTTTCTCCTGTTATCTTGCTGGACTTGGTGGGATGATGCTTAATAAGGTGGACGAACTTCAGGGCCAACCCCAAGTGCAGCTGTGGACATTTATTTTCTGGTCGAGGATGGAGATGCTTTGTCGGGTATTCATTGTGTGAGCAGCCCGGCTTGTCCTCACAACTGTGATTCAGACTCACCAGGCCTTTGCAGGCCTGATGTGACCTTGCCTGTATGTTTGAGATATTTCCAAAAAGCTGGCACAAAGTACATATTTTATATAGCACAACTTCTCTTTCATTGACTTTCATCATTATTTCTGGGGCACATTTGCAAAAACTGTTACCTCTTTAAAATAATAAAAATTAATCAACCCATACCTCTGCTTGTGGAACTAAGGAAGGTTTTGTGCTTTTGGTTCTCCTCATCCAATGCTTACAATAAAACCTAGTCAGGTGGACTAAATGATAATGGAATTAATTAGCAATTTTAACACGAGCTGGGCTATTGTGGGTAAGTTATTCTGCTAAAATTGAAGGGTCTTCAGCAAAGTCTGTCCTCGCTCTTTGTACTTCCATAGCAGCGGTAGTCCCCCTTATCCATGGGAGTACATTCTAAGATTCCATGGGTAACTGAAACCAGATAATGCCAAAACCTAAACGTACTGTGTTTTTCCTACACATCTATGCCTATGACAAAGCTTAGTTTATGAATTAGGCACGGTACAATATTAACAACAATCACAAATAGTAAAATAAAGGTCCTTGCGCCCTTATCCCATGAGATTCATCTTTTAGCTACGATGGCTTCTGTACATGCAGGAAGCATATACAACTTGGAGACCTTGGACGGAAGGATGGTTTGTGTCCTGGGCAGGATGGAGTGAGGTGGCGCAAGATTTCATCCCATTGCTCAGAATGGTACATGATACAAAACTTAGGAACTGTGTATTTCTAGAATTTTATTTCATACATTTTGGACCATGATAACGGAACCTATGAAAAGCGAAAGCATGAGTAAGCAGTCACTACTGTATTAGCTGTGGACCCCAGCTCATGGAGAATTTTTGTGTTCCTAGAAATCCTGATTTCACTTGGGACCTGTTGTGGCAAAGCGCTTCAAGGACCCCATTGGTACTCAGGCACAGAAGCTCCTTCTGGGGCATTGTGTAAGAGGTTTCAAGTTTCACCAATGTATTTGCAACTTCTCTTACCCAGTTGCTGAGGCTGAAGGCAGAACTTCTAAGCAAATCTCATCAAGAGTTTCTAGTAATTCCTTGAACAAAACCCAAGTCACTCACTATTTCACAGTGACCCAACAGGTGAAAACCACATTTATTTACTTTTAAAGCATGGCTTTAAAATGAAGTTTTGTTTTGTTATGTATAAAAGATTTAGCACCAAATATAAGAAAATAGTAGAACAATGTCGGCAGAAAGGAATTGCCTATACAATTTATTAAATGCCTAAGTGTGAAAAGAGCCAAGCGAAAAACACCCAGTCTGAGGTTGAAATGTGATTCTTTTAAAGGTTTTGTTAATGATGCCAGGAAGGGACATTTCTGGGGTATTGGGCTCTGGGATGGATGGAGTGACTGTTTCAGTGTCCTTCTCTTAATGGGGCCTTTGAGCTGTTCTGTTAAAAAACAAAAGCATCTAATTATACCCTTCCTTCCTTTCTTCCTGCCTTCAGTAACTGGGGATCCTCCACAGAGACTTGGTCCTGCCTAATCAAGTTTCTCTTTGGTGTGGAACATGTGGAATGGCAGATATTTTTATGGGGACAATGCCAAAAGAAGAAAGAGAAGAAGACAACAAAAAGGAGTGTTGAGGGCCAAGCTTGGGATTCTTAGCATAAGATGAAAAGATGACTGTATCTGCTGGTCCACAGACTCTGGCATCTGGGGGTCACAGGAGAGGTGGCCCCACTGGCTCTATCCCAGGTGGCCATGATTAGGAGCAGGTCTGGCCCCCACACTGACCTTCTCTTCCGGGGGTCTCGACTGTGAGGTCTCACCTTGGAAATCAGGCCCAGCTGGAATCAGCTTGATCTGTCAGTATGCACCAAGCCACAACATAAGGTTTTCATTAGATGGCTTCTGGGGACGGGGTGCCTCACCGGCTGCACATGTAACAGTAGCCTCCTTGGATTAGTGAGCGCGCCTGGATTTCCTAGACATGAGCCAACCAGACAGTTCCAGAGGACAGAATGAAGGCAGGCTGGAGGGGCTGGGATTACTCTCCTGGGCGGCAGCCAGTTGGCTCTGAGAGAGAGAGAGAGAGAGAGAGAGAGAGAGAGAGAGAGAGAGAGACTGTGTGTGTGTGTGTGTGTGTGTGTGTGTGTGTTGAGCTACTCAAGAGTTAAATAAAAACTCTCAACTTCTACCCAATGCTTAGTTAGTTCTTCCTCTTTCACCCATGACTGCAAAAGTTCTTTCCTGGAACTTGGACTCATTTCCACACTTCCTGTGCCCCCTATCCTGTTTCTCTTTTGATAGTATTCTGCAGCTAAGGTGGCTGGAGAGGACCAAGATTTGCCTTTCCTGAATGCTTTTCACAGAACCTCCCCATCACCTTGAGTCAGGAAGCCAGCATCCCTTTCCCCCAGGCACTTCAGACTTTGAAGACCAGCACCCTGACCTCTGCAACCAGGAATTGCATCTCTGAATTCTTTTATAGAATCAGGTTGGGCATGGCTGCTTGGGGGTCACCATAGGCTCTCCCAAGTCTCCTTTGTTGCTTTCAGCTCTGTGTCGCCACAACAGCTGCTGGCTGGGGCTCTGTGTTACCAGTATCCTTCACTGGGGATAAGGGCTGGGCATTTTTTTCAAGACCCAAGAGATACTTGTGAGCACGTTCTGCATTTCTGGTGGTTTCCATAACCACACCACTTTGGTCTTCTGGAGTGCATCCAGCTAGCTTTGCAAATCGTTTCCTGAAAGAACCAAACCAGGAGGTGTTCTCAGCAATCTGCCCCACTCCTGGG